TTTTTGTAAGCCACCCAAAGACTCTGGTATTGGATGGCACATAAAAACTTTCAATCTATAAATCAATCAATCGATGTCTTGATAACCTTGCATTGATTTTTCTCAGTCCTGGAGCTCCTGACAGAATGGTATTCAGCATGCCACAGTTGTCCATCTTTCACTATACCACATCCACTTGATTATCAAACTAGTCTCCTTTACCCATAGCTTAGAAGCTCAAGAACAGATATGCCAGAAGTGAGAGGGTACCATGAGAGCTGGAAGCTGGTTCCAATCCCATGTTTTCATTAGGAGGGAGAGGTTGTAGATAAAGGCAAGCTTTTCTTCACTGTCTGCCTGCTTTCTAGCATTCAAGGTAGGGAAGAGACAGGCAAGGCCAACTTTGGTAGACATTCCTTAGTGATAAAGTGAATTCTTTGGTGCTGGCCAAGGAAGTTACAGGAGGGGTCTAAATGTGGAAAGAATGATCAAACTGCTTCTTTACGATGATATTAAAGACTCATCATAGTGTCAGGTAAAGCAAACAAGGGATTAAATATACACTTGCGAGTTAAAAACAATGTAAAAGGCCCATTGCTTGTAATTCACAACTGAAAATGTCCACAATTAGAAATTAGATTTAGACTTGCTTTCTTCCCACCCACCAACCCCAAGTTCCTTAGTTTGGAACCATCCAAACTATCTATGATGCATTAGGCCTTCAAACAAATGTTTCCTTAATTAATATAAGTAACATTCTGTGAATGTTATACTAAAACACTCAGAATTTCTGGTAGTGGATGGATAGTATTTCACCATCAGTGCATCAATAAAACTGACAAGAATGAATTTTAACTTCCCTCATGCTGAAAACTGAGCTAATACCCTGGGTCTTTGAAAGACCTGGACCCCCACCCACAGACAACTGCAAAAACAGGGGCTAAGCAATCCAGCAGCCTTGCTATGCTGGAAACAATTAATGCAGGCATAACGTATGCTGGATCCTATGAACTTCCTGCTGCAAAGGTGTCAGCTAATAGTGCTTCTAAGAAATGAGTGTAGCTCCCACTACACCTATGGAAACTCCACTGCCTGCTACCTGCAAATCATAGCATGGCATGCTAACAATGTACCCACAGATGAAATCTCTAACCCCACAGCACCTGTAACAGGTGGCAGAATGAAACCGATGGGGTCCTTGAAATCTCCATTGTCCACAGATTCGGAGGTGTGTGGGTGCTTGTGAAGGAGCTATAGTCTCATGGAACACTACAGATTTAACATGCATGTTACCAGGTTTGAAGACTGAACTCACTGTCCCACTAAGAAAGACTCCAAACCATGACATAAGCAATTCTGGATCAGACCATCTAGGTCCAGCATTCTGTTCACACAATAGCCCATGAGAAACTCGCAAGCCGGACTGCACTGCAACCTGTTGCCTCCAATACTGGAGGGAGGAGACAAGTCATTGGGATTAGTAGGAATTGGTAGCTTTCCTCTCCATGAATGTGTCCAGTCCCCTTATAAAGTTATTCAAAGTCCAGTTGCCATCCCAAGGAAGTGAATTCACAGTTTAAAGATGAACCTTTTAAAAATCTGTCTTTGATCAGCTCCATGGGATGATCCCCCTGGGTAGAATTACGGAGGAGGCAGAAAAACATCTTTTTCACACCCGTATGGTCATAGCCCTCCATGTTTGCCCCCTTTTAAGCCCAGTAATTCCAAGCCTTATCTTCCCTCGGAGAGGAGTCATTCTCACTCCTTGGTCATTGGATTCTACTGCATCCAAGGACAGTGTTTTAATATATCACCTCTCACACCATTACTGGAGATGAGACTAAGATCTGCTATTACAGATGTTTTAATTCATTAGTGTTTTAATAGGTTTTTAATGTGTTTTGTTTTATGTTTAACGTATTGTAAGCTGCCTAGGAAGGCCTCAGTAGTCATAGGCAGTCTATAAATATGTGCATAAATAAAAAAATCTGAGAAATTTATGATTTAAACTAAAATATGCTGACATCTCCCACCATCAGTGTGCTGAGCTATTTAATTGGACAAGCAAGGAACTGAGTGAATCCAAGACTCCATGCATGTAAAACAGGCATGTCAGCATGGCACTATGGACCTTCTACATCCTGTTAGCACTGTATCTCTGTACAAGGTTCTTTCCCTACATTTCCTGCCTCCTTGAGTGTTACCTGTCTCAATTTGCAGCATACCTGGTCTACAAATACCAAAGTTATGTCCACGAGTTGGTACTACCCCCATTTGGTGGCCTACAGTGCTGACTTCCCTTGTATGGGAATTCATCTGTGTATATTAAATATACGTTAAAATACATTAGATAAATGTAAATTTACCATGGGTTGCTTATTTATTTATTTAATATACTAGTCAATAGCCAAGGTTCAATGTTCACAGTCCTAAAGTTAGCTTTAAATTGATTTAGGCTAAAATTGTAAATAAATTTACTTAACTATAAACTCCACTGCACATAGCAGGGCTTCTAAGCGAATATTCATAATGTTGTGTCATTATTCATCTGGAAAAGATCCAAAGTGCACATAGTTATAATACAGGATCAAGGACTCTACAGAGTTCCCCACCAAAGCTTCTCAACTCTCATCACGACTCTGAGATAGTAGGAACAAATTCGGCATTTGTTGCAGCAGAGAATCCCTCATCCAGTTAAGACCACTGGTCCAACTAGTCACGTATTGTCAATGGTGATTGTCAGCACAGCCTCCCAGGGTTACAAGCGACCTGCTTTGCAGTCTAGCAGTTTTCCTGCCCTTTCTGGAGATTGAGCCTGGGAACTTTTGCATACAGCAGCTGGCAAAGCACACCATACGGTCCTAGCATGCACTTTAGCACAGGGCTACAGTTTGGTTCCTCTTAAACGATCGGACGCATGGCAGTCCCAGCATTAGGTTCTACATAACCAATCAGTCAGACTTCTAGAAATGATTCATTTACTGTCAATTTTATTTCAGGATCATTCAGGCAACCAGCCATGAATCGATCCATTTCTTCTGAGAATTACGCATTGACCCTTCATCCCCTTATGTCTTTGCATGGAAACAGTTGCAAGACTTATGGGTCAAGTTGAAACTGATCAGCTATGTGAAGGTACCTCAAGATCAGGGGTGCACATCAAATTTCCAAGAGCACACCATGTTTTGTTTTGGTTTTTTTAATGGTTGCTCAAATCTGTCTTTGGTGCTAAACCAATATGCAGCTAAAACCCTCAAGAACTCCGATACTGGTCTTAAGACACAGATAGCAAAATTAATACCAGTATATGAATTATTTTTTGCGACTCAGTAGCCTTCTCCAAACTTGTGCCCTTTGGATGTGTTGAACTACAACTAATGGTCATGACTGGGAATGACAAATGACATTCCCAACAAACCTGAGGGCACCATGTTGGAGAAGGTATGGGTATGCTGACTCCTTATACTTTTCAGACATTCAAAACTCAGTAATCACATATCTACCTTACTAAAAGTTCTTATTCTTCACTTCTTTGGTTACTCGTCTTTTCATTTTCTACCATAAAGTCTTAATTCTTTGCCATATACATAACAATTTAGTTCAAGCTTTCCAGACATCAGTTGTGTGGAATGCGTATTGTGGTGCATTGTGCACCAGATTCTAGTTTCAATAAGCCAATTGTAGAAACAATTCATGGCAGAGCGCTCTGAACTTTGAAATAGCATGCCTCGCTTTGACACGCTGCCAAATGCCTGATGTTTGCAAACAGTTTGTATGGACATAATGAGAGCATTCCCTGAAGTGAAGACTTGTGTGGATGGGTGAGGAGAACAAGTTTCTGTTTTGATAGTTGAATTTTATACCCTAATAACTTCATCTCCCTCAGATCCCACCACCACCATAAAGTGGAATTTTTCAGGATAATTTGAAATAATACCCCTTTGACATTTTCAGCTGAATGTAAAAATACCCTTAATTTAGCCAATGTAAAAATATATTGGTCCCTCTTCAAAATAGCCTGTTAATAAAACTTACTTATAATTCACTCCCAGCTGATAACTGATACTATTTTCTTTAAGGAGTGTTGCTTCTTTAGGAGAAATATTCCCAACTACAGATTATTCAAGATTTGTTCATTTGCTGCTTTAACCTGTGAAAGGAAGGCTGTTGCTTAAGGAGGGGTTCTCATTTAAATATGGCTTATTCAGTTTTTTGAAGAAATGAGCATAGCAACAGTCAGAAACCAGCTGAAGCTGCTGGCCTCTGCACTTACCAGAAGAGTCTGCTATAAGGTTGACTCCCACATTTTAGCACAAATCAGATGGGATCAGTATCTCATGGTTTTTTTTTTAAAGGGGGAACTACAGCTATGGAAGGCAGAGGAGAAATTAGCTTTGGACATTGGTGCTGTTTTGGAAGGGTGGGAGCATAACCTTTGCATCCAGTGCTATTTTCCTCATGAAAATTGCCTATCTGCCTAAAATAGCTATTTGGCTCATGGGAGAAAATGCGCAGCTACCAGTATATTATTTTTTTTTTTTTGCACTAAGAAAAACAGCAGCTCTGGGGGAAATGAAAATGCTTTCCCCTTCACATACAGCACTGGGGCCTTGAAACAAATTGTGGCCTCAATCATGGACACGACTTTTTTTTCTTTTTCTTTTTTAAAGAAAGACCAAAATCACAGACCTGTCTTGACAATGAATCTGGTTTTGTCCTTAAGCCTGGATCTGAAAAAGGTGTGATTACTCAGCCATTTTCTGGCTGCCTTCTAGGAAGCTTTTAGTATGGCAAAGTAGGAAATTTGAGTTGGAGGTCACCTCATCTGAGGAACACTCCTTAAAGAGGACATTCCTTTAATGAAATCACTCTGCTGTTACATGAAAGAGGAATTTTTCTTATAGAAAGAGCAAGTTTAGGTAAGATACAGAGTTACCTGTTAAATCAAACACTGGCATGCAGGTTAAGAGTACACAGTGTATTAAAGCAATAGCAATCCAACAGTCAATAAACACATGATATAAAGTTTTAAACAGATCTTTTATTTATCCTGTAAAAGAAGGGTAATTCCACACAAAATACACAAGTCTAGTCCACAGTTCATTCAAGCAAGAGCGATGGAAAAGGCTGCAAGCAAGAATGAGCTGAGGTTCTGGGCATCTCCTCTTTGGATAAGAGATTGCAAGGACTTCTTCTCTAATTGTTGTGCTCTTGAAGTGCCTGAGCCATGAAGAGTTTGCCCAGGTTCTGCGCAGTGAACTCCTTGATGTTCTGGCTGTATGTGTTAATTTGACCTGCAAAGAAAACATGGTGGGGAAGGAAAGAAAACAAAATTTCTGAATTCTTTTGGATAATGGGGTAGAGGTGTGTATACAAGCTTGCTACCTTTCTAAAAATCAGGTGGTGTTGTACCATCCTACTCTGCCAAGTGTTAAGCACGGATTGGCACAGGAAAAGGAACCTGGTTGTAGTATGCTAGGGGAATTCTGGAAAATTGGGAAGAGAAATATTCGTGCTATTTCTCTTCTACCTGGGGGCCTGGAAACAATGCTTGCCTCATCTGGTTGACTTTTTGTGGGTTATGTTGGTTTTTTGTTAGCTGCCTCACATTAGCAATTTCTCAAGCCAGCAGGCTGTGGAGGCTTTGTCTGAAGTACTGTACAAATCAAACTCATCCTTACATATACTTTCTTTTTTTGGGGCGGAGGGAGGAGTTGTACACACATTGCTACTGCAATTCATTTTCTTTACTAGTCAGGAAGAACAAAAAGACAATGCCAGATTATCAAAATTAAAACTGCTTAGCAGACCAATACACTTTCAATTTAATGCTCTACTTTAAAAAAGTTCTGAAATGCCTCAGAGACAAAACCAGCCAAGTCTCAGCTTTGATCCCCAACTTAATTCTGCGTGAATTAAAATAGTGAACACTTTCAGCTCTTTTCCTGACTCTGCTAAAAAGGAAAAACATTTTGGCTGAAGGCTGTTGAGGCGTAAATTGGCTGTTCCTTCCCCTAGCTCCAGAAAGATGGCTGAACCAGAACTCACCAGAGCACAGGCATAACCTGAAATGTAATTGAAAAAGTGAAGGTACTTCACTAGGGTGTGTTCCCCCTTCCCTTTAAAGCAGCACTGAGCTCTGGGAGAACACATTACCAAAATTCAAACCAGACCCATTCACTCCAAGTCAAAAAGGACAATGATGATACAATTACGCTACACATTGCTGAATTGTTACATTGTGTCCTGTTCCTGCAGTGTGGCAGCATTTTTAGTACATGTTAAATTTTATTTGAGCTTTCATTCTCAACTTCAGGCTTCTGTTTCTGAAACACTTTTTCGTAGGGAATAAAAGCAAAAGCTGGTGCATTCTATGGGAGATCTCCAGGGTGCTAATGCGATTAATAGTGATGGGTCAGCCTGAGGCATGGCGATTTCTCTAGCATGGTCAGTCTGTCATGCCGCCATTTCATTGTGCATCTTCTACCTCTCTGCCTTGTGTCTTGATCTATATGTCTCTTCCCACGAACACAGTATCATGAAAGGAAAATATGAAACAAGTTTGCCTCATAGGAATCACCTTGGATAACTTAGACCAAAGAAAGAAATATGAAGATACTTCAAATCTCAAACACTAGTTCTTAACTCATCTGCTCAGGTGGTAAGTCACATCCCTCGGCCATTTGTTTCTCCAAGGAACCTAACATGCCCCTCTTCTTCATCTTATAATCACAAGAACCCCATGAAGGAGATGAGGCCAAGGATCAGGGACTGGCTCACATAGTGAGCTTTACGGCTGTGTGGGGGAACGCAAACCCAGGTCTCCCTAGTTCCAGTCCAACACTCCAACCACTGTGCAACACCGTTCATGCAAGCTGGGCAAGGGGGCATCCAAGGAAATGCTATTTATACAGTGCCCTATGTAAAAGAGTTTAGTACAGCAAAAACCCAATCTGGACTAACATTTAGCTATGCCACTCAGGGACAAGTCTCTGTTGCCTTTAGGCAGCCTCCCCTACCTGCTTCCTCAGGCTAACAGCTCAGGATCTACTTCAGCCTTCCCCAGCTTGGTGCCTTCTGCGTGTTTTAAGTTTCAGCTCCCATCAGCCCCAGCCAGTGTAACTAATACTGGGAGGTGCAGTAGAAAACATATCAAGGATGACGGGTTGGGGGAATGCTGTTTCAGAGAGAGAACCTGGAAGCCCAGCGCATGCCATCTTGAGTTGGGAGGCTAATAGAACAACATGCACACATCACACACACTAGTTTGTTCTGGTTCCCGCTTGGATCTAACGCAGCAGCTGCCCCTAAAAGCAAGGAGCATTTTGTCGTGTTTCCTTGAGCTTTGTGAACATAAATGCAAAGCCCCACCAAAGCAGTAAATATAAAAGGCCTTTGACGCACCCTTTAAAGGCATCGCTTTTCCCTTTCTTGCCTACAAATCTTGTTGAAAATAAACAACAGAGCCGCCGCAGGAAAGGGAAGGCAGTCGAGTTTTTCCCTTCCCCCAGAAATGTTACCTGCTATCAACAGCGATTCCATCCTGGCAGGAGGCTGTGGTGGCTTGAACAATTTGTTAATGTCCTCTTCAGGGAGGGGCGGCTCCCCTTTACTTTGACGCTGCAAGTTTTCTTGCTGACGTCTCTGCAGGTACTGGAGAGGGAAGGAGCAAAAATGCAGCGGTGGGGTATCTGATCCAAAGGGGACCCTCAGAAGTCACATGAAGAATGCGGAGGAGTTGCCTAATTCAGAAGGTCACCCAGGCTTCAAAACATTCAGTGCTTTCTGGCACAGCATGACACATACACACATGATGTGTTCTTGAAAATGCTGCTGGGCTTCAAAAGGGGGTGGTTTCTGCTCCAGTCACACCCCCCATTGAGGAAGTTTCAATCCTTTCCCCCATCCTCACTGAATCACTTATCTTAGCTCACTAAAATCGGCAGTGTGGTTTACAGATCTTTAGTTGTCCAAAGGAAACTATATGATTAGAGATTTTAAATGAAATTAAAATCCACGGGGAAAAGGCCCTTTGTTCTATGCTGCTGGATTGAATTTGGGCATGATTCCAGAAGCTTCTGAAGCACCACAGAACGTATGTTACAAGTATGTTATCACGACCCTGGAGCATCCAGAATCATCATCTCTCAAGCAGCTCTGTGAAGTTCAAAGGCCTCCACCATTCAGTATCATTCCCAAATGGTTCAACAGACAATGTGATGAAAAATCCAGGTTCATCCACTTTTTGGGACATGAACTGTAGCCTTCCAGCCCTTTTGTATTTGGGTCCTTCCAACTGCAGCAGGAAGGGAAGAGAGTTGTACCTCCTGGCAGAATACTAGAATGAACACTGAGAAGGGGTGGTGGGGGGGGAACACTGGAGGAAAAGAAGAGTGCCAGAAAGACAGTCTATGTGAATTTCCCAAGTTCCTTGCTCCTCAACATACATGGTGGCTCAAAAAGTAAGAATGAAGAATACCTGAGTCTGACACAAGCTTGAATTGGGACTGATCAATTGTGCTGCTTTTTAGTTACTTTTATCATGAAGCAGCACCTTTGGAGACTTATTTTCAATGGACATTATATCTTTTGGCTGGCAGCCATAAATGCAAATTAGTTTGCAAAATGTGTGTTCTTATAGTAATCTCATATAAGTGAACAGCCGTTCATTACTGCAAGTTATTTAGACAGCAAAGGGGCACCAAGGTCTGAACAGTTCACTGAGTTTTCGTAAGATGGAAGGAAAGCCTGTGCCAGGTTTGGGTTGGTTTTTGTTTTTTATGGAAGGACAAACTTCATAAAAGTTGTAATCGTGAGTCTTCTTCATCATCAGGCACTGACAGTCACATCAAGCAGTGTCCTCTGCAGAGCAGTCTCAAGGTTGGTGTTCAGCTGGTGCCATGATTTCTTAATACACCCAGATTTGGAAAAATAGCAAATTAAGTGCATAGCATTCTGCATCTCAGCAGTGTTTGAAAATGAAAAAGATTTGGGAGAATCAAATGAGGGGTGTGGGGGGGTGTAAAGGGATCCATATTGCATTCAGTTGGTGCATTACTTACCAAAATTGCTTGCTCTTGCACACAACTGTTCTATATCTAAATAATGAACAGACTGACTATGGTTCAATGAGCCGCATCTACAGCAACTGTAAGTTAAGCAAGAGCTGATGGGTAACAGTCCTGGATTCTTTCCTCCTTCAAATCAGTTTTTACATCTCTGAAACCTTCTCATAAATTTGCCCCAGAAGATTTATACTGGCAAGCAAGGAAGTTGGAAGGAACAGTAAGTCAGCAGTGAAGTCCCAGTTTTGCATGTTATGTGTGGGAGAGATCAGTTTCCTGAACCGGCATTTATATTGAGAAAATGCAACATAAAGATCCAGCAATTTGCATCCAATTACAGAAACCACACAGTATCATGTATTATCTCCAGACCGATATGGCCCACCCAGAGAACTAACCTGATGTTTCTGTTGCTGCTGTTTGCTGGTGTTCCGTAGATAGGTGTTGTATTTTACAATATCCTGGCTCATCTCATCCACTCTGTCCATCAATAGCTGCAGGCTCTTTGCAAGGTGATTACTAAAACACAGAAAAAGAAGGTCTGAGGAAGATTTGCCATTGGACATATTTTCTTTTTGCAGCACTATATCTGGACAAAATTTCCTTTCTACAGCAATTAGTCAATCTTTGCTGGTGAACTGAGCAGTAAGTTTAAATTTACTTAAATATTGTTTAAAACTGCAACTGTAGTACCTCCTGTTTATTTAGCCCTTGCTCCAAATCAGCTTTTCCCAACTTGGCAGCTTTCAGATGTGTTGGACTGCAACTCCCATAATACCCAGCCAGTGTGGCCAACAGCCACACTGGCTGGGAATTATGGGAGATAAAGTGCCAAGTTGGGGAAGCCTGCTCTAAATAAATAGGAAGGGGTTCAGTAAAGACTGACTGAATTTGATAGCATCTCTGTATTTCTCTCAATGCACCACCCCCTTCATGCTAGCATTGCAATCCTGAGCTCAGTGTCAGGCATAGAAGCCATCAAAAATCTTAAGATGTTGGCTTTGCTAGACACGTAACGCCAAGAATAATAGAGCTGCATCTCTCTGGTGCCAGTTAACAAATTGCATCCTGCTCAAAGAAGCTATTTCATATAGACCCAAACAGCACTGGAAACAGGCTCTATGGCTAGGGCCTGAAGAAACTATTTTAATGTAAGATTTAGACTAGACCTTTCACAAGAATTTAGGAGCTCCTCTTGATCCACCCAGAGTATAGGACACCGAATAATGTGCTTTATTACAGGGAGGCAGAACTCCCCGATTATTAGAGCACTACAATGGAACCAATTACACAGGGAGGCTGTGGGCTCCCCCACACTGGACAGCCATCTCTGGGTGATGGTTTAACTTGGAAGTCCTGCTTTGAGCATGGGGCTGGACCCAAAGGCCATCTTGGCCCCTTCCAACTCTACTATTCTGTGATATTTTATTTATTTATTTGTGATATTTATATGCCATCCTATTGCAAAAGTCTCAGGACAGCTTACATAATAAAATACAAGTATCAATATAAATAAATTATAACAAAATGCCAACATAAAAATCAACATAAACAAATCAACCCACTCCGGCTGTAATTAAAAATATAATATTAAAATACCATATTAAAACTTATTAAAATATTGATGAAATAAAAAGGTCTTATACCCTATAATGAGGGCACCAGGTGGACCTCTCTGGGGAGTGCATTCCATAGATGGGGCGCCACCGCAGAGAAGGCCCTCTTCCGGGTGCTCTGCCTCCTAATATCTTTCACAGAGGGTTCCCGGAGGAGGGCTTCTGCTGCCGATCTCAGGAGGCGGGAGGGCAAATAGGGAAGAAGGTGTTCCTTTAGATATCCAGGTCCCAAGCCGCGATTCTTGGGAGTGCATTAGAGTCTTCTCTAATATTAATTTTCTGTTGCATGTGGGTTTATGACTAATTCCCAAGCAGTGTGAACAGCACTTTCACAAATCCTCTGAGCTTAAGCCCTGCTAAATCATACACTGGATCCATCCCTTCCAGCTTCCTTCTTCTGACAGTGGCCAAACAGATACTCTCAGGAAGTCTACCAGCAGGACCTCCCCCCATTGTTGACTCTCATGTAACAGGATTCAAGGGAGCCTTTTGGAACCAGAGCATCCATTTTTGCAAACAAGCAGAGATAGACTTCTGCACCATGAATTTGTCTTTATTCCTGTTTAATTTTACCTTGGCTACTCTCACATCTTGCAACAGTGAATGTCATATAAATTGTGCACTGCCTTCATACTTTCAGACAACCTCCTCCAAAGTGGGTCTCTACAACCCACATGAGCCTCAGTCAACATGGCCAGCGGTCAAGGATAATGGAACCTGCTGTCCAATCACAGAGGATGCTCTGCACTTTCTACGATGGAAAGGTCGATCGTACATTGCTGTTTTAACCTCTCAGTCCTGAGTGAGTTAAGAGTGTATGGGTCCATGTATATGTTTATTTGATGCTTTCAAGAAAAGGAAGGGGAAACAGGAAAAATATCATCACATTTCTGTTCCTGGCTGAACTCATCCCTCCTGCACCATAGCAGTCATGTAAGACCAAACGTCCCGGTGGAAGCCACACACTGCTGCTGTTTTCAGCATTTCACAGCGCCTTGCAGAAATATTCACAGCAGCTCCTTTGTGTTCCCCACATTTTGTTGGGTTACAATCTGGACTGAAAATGCTTTCACAGGCATTGTTACTACGTGATGTATGCAAGACTGTGAATTAAAAGTATTTTTAATTATGGCACAAAAGCTAGGTAAACCAACAAAGAAACTGAACTGCCACTTGTTGATTACAGAAATATCCATCCATCCTCCCCCACCCCCCAAGTCAATACATAGTAGAAGCACCTTTGGGAGAAATTATAGCTCCAAATCTTTTTGGGGAAGTCCCTATTAGCTGATGCAACTAGGCTCTGCAGTGTTTATCTGTGCTTTACAACAAAACTTCTCCAGTTTTGTGAGGACGGATAGAGACTACTGATAAGCAGCAACTGTCAAGTCTTGCCACAGATTCTCAATTGCATTTTAGGTCTTGGATTTGCTTGGGGCAGTCTAAGACATTCCAGTTGTTGTTTTAAGCCATATCAAAAGAAGGCATCCCTGAATCCAGAGGTGGCCACCAATTACAGACCAGTGGCCAACATCCCATTCTTGGGCAAGGTGTTAGAGCGGGTGGTGGCAGGACAACTCCAAGCACTCTTGTATGAAACTGATTATCTGGACCCATTTCAGTCCGTCTTCAGACCCGGGTACAGTACTGAATCCGCCTTGGTCACCCTGTATGATGACCTGTGCAGGGAGAAAGACAGGTGGAGTGCGTCCCTGTTGGTTCTCCTGGACCTCTCAGCAGCTTTCGATACCATCAACCATGGTATCCTTCTGGATAGGCTTGCCGGATTGGGAGTCGGAGGCACTGCTTTGCAGTGGTTCCGCTCCTATCTCAATGGCCGATTCCAGAAGGTGGTACTGGGGGACTATGGCTCTGTGCCATGGCAGCTGTGTCATGGAGTTCTGCAGGGTTCCATTTTGTCCCCCTTGCTATTCAACATCTACATGAAACTGCTGGGAGAGGTCATTAGGAGGTGTGGGCTGCGGAATCATCAGTACGCTGATGATACCCAGCTCTACCTCTCGTTTTCCACCAATCCAGGTGAGGCAGTGGCTGTGCTGAACCGGTGCCTGGCCGAGGTAAACGGCTGGATGAGGGCCAATAAACTGAGGCTCAATCCAGACAAGACGGAGGTCCTGTTGGTAGGTGGGTCGGGCTTCGGGATGGGGGACCTGGACCTTGTTCTGAATGGGGTTGCACTCCCTCTTAGGGACAGGGTTCGCAGCCTGGGAGTGCTCCTCGACCCTGAGCTGTCATTAGAAGTTCAAATAACAGCGGTGGTGAGGAGCGCCTTCCTTCAGCTTCGGCTGATCCATCAGCTGCATCCCTACCTGGAGAACAATTGCCTGGTGACTGTGACACATGCATTGGTAACTTCCTGATTAGACTTCTGTAATGTGCTCTACGTGGGGCTGCCCTTGAAGACAGTCCGGATACTTCAATTGGTGCAAAATAGAGCTGCCAGGTTGCTGACGGGGTCTGGGCATTGTTCTCATATAACCCCAGTCCTCCGTCAGCTTCGCTGGCTTCCCATTGAAGTCTGGGCCCAATTCAAGATGTTGGTTATCACCTATAAAGCCCTCAACGGCTTGGGACCTGGTTATCTAAAGGAGCGCTTGCGTCCATATGTGCCCTCCCGCCCCCTGAGATCGGCGGGGGAGGCCCTTCTCCAGGAACCCTCTGTGAAGGATGTTAAGAGGGTGAGTACCCAGAGTAGGGCCTTCTCTGCGGTGGCACCCAATCTATGGAATGCGCTCCCCAGAGAAGTCCGCCTGGCGCTGTCGTTATTTGTTTTTCGGCACTAGACCAAGACCTTTTTATTTAAACTATATTTTAATTGTTAACTGTTGTTTTTATTTATTGGTTTTATGATACAGCCGAGATGTTCCGAATTTTTAATGTTTATTCTATGTTTGTTTTCTCCTGCTTTGTAAGCTGCCCTGAGGCTTTCTGCGATGGGGGTGGCATAAAAATATTATAAATAAATAAATAAATAAATAAATATCAGTGTGACTTTCACTGTGCATTTAGAGTTACTGTCCTACTGGAAGGTAAGCCTCCTCCACAGCCGAATGAAGCAGGTTTTCCTTAAGAATTGCCCTCTATCCTTCTTGTCCGCAATCCTGACCAGTTTCCCAGTTCCTGCCAAGGAAAAGCATCCCCACAATGTAGTGCTGCCACCATCATGCTTCACTGTGAGGATGGTGTTCTCAGGACAATAAACTCTATACCACCCATGGCATTTTGCAGCAGAGCCAAGATGTTCGCTTTTGGTTCCATCAGACCAGAGAATCTTTTTCTACAAGTTTGCTGTGTCTACCACATGCCTCTTTTCAAACTCCAAAGAGGCTATGATATGGATTTGTTTCAGTAATGGCTTTCTTTCTGCCACTTTTCCATAAAAGCCCATCTGGATGACAGCTGTCCCTGCGTGATTACTCCCATCTCTGCTGCGGATCTCTCCAGCTCCTTCAGAGTTACCAGTGACATCTTGGTCGCTTTTCTGTCTAATGCCCTCCTTAACCAGTTACCCAATCTTGATAGATGGCTTCTTCTAGACAGAACTGAAGCTGAGCCATATTCATCCTATTTTACAATGATGGATTTAATGGTATGTCAGCGGATGTTCACAGCTTGGGATTTCTTTTAATAACCCAACCCTGATTGGTGCTTTGCACAACTTTTATCCTAGAGTTGTTTAGATAGTTCCTTGGTCTTCATGATGCTGTTTGTTTTCATATACTTCACAAGAAACTCTGGGCCCTTCCAGAAACAGGAATGTTTAATATCAGGTCAAGCAACACTGGAACTGCACACAGGTGGACTCCATACGTACACTGACTTTAGAAGCTGTTAGGTTGCACCAGTTTGTTTAGGCATGACACAGTAAAAGAGGTGAATACATCTGCAACTAACAACTGCCAGTTAATTTTTGCTTATTTAATTTGTGTGCCACAATAAAAAATATTTTGCACATTCACAGTGCTATCTTGCATATATCAATTGGTTAAAAAACCTAATTAAATCCATTTCAGTTCCAGGTAGTAACACAAGCAGTTGTGGAAAATTCAAAGGGGAGAGGAATACTTCTGCAAGGCACTGTAAATGTCCGGTATGCAATCTGTTCTCCCCCAACTTTCAGCCACTGCTCCACCCCACTTTCCATAATCCCTCCTCATGGGCTTTATCTTACATGGTTATTATTTCTCAACTACAAGAGATTTAATGAATTTATTCTATGAAAACAATAATCTGACAGAGGACTTTAGTCACAAAGTGGGTTGCAATACTAAAATGAAACTTAATTAGATGGGATTGAAAAACTAAATCCAGGGTGCTACTTTAGGTTGATGTGACAGTTTTCATCCTGCATTAAACAAACACGCAAACAAGCAAAATGGACTATTAGAGGATTTATTGGTCACCCCAGACAAAACTGCCTCATGTAAGGCAAATGTTCCATAGTGAAAGTTTCCCCACAGCAGACTAGAATAAGCGTAAGAATGGTTTCAGGTCTCAGTTAGTACAGCCTATTTAAGACAATCTATCATGCTTCAAGGCACAATAAGCATCACAATGTTTTGGCCTATTAACCCCTATTAAACATAACACTGTTTCAGTCCATCAACTTCAAATGAGTGCATCCATGTTTTCTCTCAAGGGATTCCAGGTTTTTCTTTCTGAGGGAGGAGCTTGTTCCTATACGTGGTATGCAGAGTAAGAGGATCTGTTCTTAACCTCATTTTGTGCCCCAATGTATTTCTGTGGGGTCACAAAAGCACCCCAATAGCCTATTATCATACAGTTGTGGGGACATCCTATGGCCCAGAAATGCATGGTTTATAAATAAATAATTTTTAAAAACCTACCAAAGGTGGGTGGCTGAAATTTGGGGGCACTGTTTACCTTATAGGTGACAAGGACTAGTCCCATAAGGACTAGATACACAGAACTATTAGCTATGTGCATATTACAGTATAAATTATGAATGTGAGGTAAGAAATTCACCCCTGGATGCTAGATGAAGTTATAAGAATTAACCACTAATGAAAAAACAAACCACAAAGCTTTTGTGAGCCTTTGAACAGCTGTGGGGGGAAGTATCAAGGACCTCTAAGAATCAACTTGAAATGCATTTTTCATGCTAAATATTAAATCCTTGATTCAGACAAAGTCAGGCATGTTTATAGCCCATTAACTGTGAGAGAAGAGCTATATATATGCTTAACACTCTCCAACTGAAATCAGTACTAGCAAAAAGGGGCTTGACTTCTGATCTTACCTTTTGCATTTGGCACTGGGAGCTGAAAAAGGTCTTTGTGTCCCAAAACACAGCCAGGTATGCACAGAATAAGTAACTAAATAGTGCCCTCCTCATTGTCTCCTACCAATTCTTTAAAAACTATTTCTTTTTCAACCACCCAAGAACCTGTGACATTGTTTAAGCAAACAACAACTATTTTCTAGCAGCAGCTCTGTTCCCCAAGAGAACCCCTCTAAGAAAAAGTCATAGCTCTTTTAAAAAATGCTCATGTCTTTGGACCTGAAGCACTCCTACACATTAATCTTTCCTCCCTCTTCTGGTTCTTCCCCTCCCCTAAAAAAGGGAAGATGATTGTGGGGAGGATTTGGAATTCACTGTGAAGAATCCATTGCAGACATACTCAATAAACAAATTCATCATTGTTATTATTAACAACATCAGAGTCAGAGAACAACTGCTATGCATAGAGAGAAATGAAGGGTGCTAATGCCCTTGACAAAAGAAAGCACCAATTCTTTTGCAAAAGGATTGGTTAGACAAGGGCTTGGCAACAGAACTTCATTCCTTATGATTTTCTCTTGGGTCAGTATGTCAGGGCCGGATTTTGTATTGAGATGCTACTGTTAAAAGCTGCAGTGCTCTGATGTCTTCTTGGCCTTGACAGCAAATAATAAAATGTGAGATGGCTGCATTAACAGATGTCAAATAAGACAAAGTGATAATCACGTATTAACTATGGAAGCAGTTTTTCTACAACTCTCTGCAAGGTGCCCAATGCTTTCTCCTACTAATAAAAATAGATTGACAAGAAATATATTATTGGGTGACTGCATGTCAAAGCTAAGTCTTACATTTGTTACCTAATTTTGTGAAGGCCTTTTGCTGTTAAACATTCCTAAATCTAATCTGAACAAAAACAAAACAAAACAAAGATAATAAAAAGGCAAAAACCAAAGAGGAAAATGAGTTGAATTAGAAGCTGTTTGAGCTGAAAAGTAGAAAATATATTTTTTTCTTATTCTTTAGCAGAACAAGCAGACTGCATAACTTAACAATGGTTATACATCAGTAATGTGCATGCCACTAACTCAATTAGAGGTTCTTCATAAACCTAGGAACAACAACCCCCCCTGCCCACCCCCAAGTGCCAAGGGTAAATGAAGCATTAAGTACAGGTCATCCTAGCCTCCTCTGAAAGTCAAGAGTCTGGGCTAAATCCTTCAGCAAACAGAATTAAATCAATTGAGGAAAAGATTTTCTATGCTGATTTTCTATGCTGTAGGCAGATCAAAGGGCAAGAGGCCAAATATTGTTATGCAGATTTTATTGTACTAGCTGCAAACTGAAACCCATTCTTATTCTGATGCAAAGCATTTGCCATGCCTAAGACACCTTGGGGTCAAAAATGACCCCTTTTGCAACTAGTGCTAGGCTTCATTTTGATGCAGGGTAACAGTTAATGTTTAGACAGTTAAAAGGTCTAAATAAGTGTAGGACTGCACCCTTAGCCATTCCATTATATAAGCAGGTGGGAAAGACAGGTAACTACTTAACGTTACGACTACATGTTGAAAGCATTGTGAAGGGGACAGAAATACATGGGAGTTATAAACTGCAGAGAGAAAACACAGAAATCAGGATGCAGGTAGGTGTTATAGTTTGTAGACCTGACTTTCTTCTTGTCTACATTAGGTCATCCTAAATGTTGTATCCACCACAGAATATTAATTAACATTTAAGTTAATTGTTTAGACTTTTCTTTCCCACCTTTTCCCAACCTCTCCTCTCCCAACCCTGGCTGTCCCCAGTAAAAACTTCCTTTGGTCATGTGAACAGGCGCATTATTCCTCAAGATAACAGGGCACTTTCAGACAAAGGGCACATGCTACATTTTTAATTTTAAAAAAACTTACTTGCTTGCAAGGCTGAGCAACTCGTGCCTATCTGCTACCACCGACTTCTTTTCGAGCTCCCAAAGAAGAACATTGATGAGAAAGGAATTCTTGATGATGATGGGCACTTCCTCAAACATGTTTTCAAAGGTGATGTTTCCTTTTTTCAACCTGAGAAAAGAGGCCCTTATAACTAACTGGCACACCCTTGTCTTCAAAAGCTTCACTTGGATCTAAGGAAAATATTCAGCAGGTAATTCTGAACAGCCTAGGCAGCTTCATTCTTCTACTTCAGGAAACAAACTTATATAGCAAACGTGGAAAAGAGCATGGAAATTACCTTTAGTTCAAGAGTTTACAAAGTTCTTGGGAGAGAAAACAGATGGACATAACTATTGTAGAGCAGTGGCTTTCAAGTTGAACCCTGGGGTGCCCTTGGATTCCTTCCTTCTGGGATGCTCTTGGGTTCCACCTTAACTAAGGTGTCTTACAGAGGAAAACTTTAATGGTATACCAAGAACTTGCCCATCACTGAACATTTCCAACAGTATGTAGATATGCAACAGTAAAACTGTGTGTTCTGATCATAGCCTTTTTTCATGGGAGGGCACAGTAAGGCACAGCAGGTTTGGCCAGTAGCATATAGAGTAGTGACACAACATCCTGAATTCCACTTTAAGAATGAACATATAAAGAGCCATGCTGAATCTCTTCCTTTTGCTTGCCCTAGATTTCATCGGCTTCAGTGGGATGACCCCAGGTTTTAGTGGTTGGGAAAGGGAGAAAAATGCACCGCAATCCATCTTCACTACATCGCATGTAGAGGCATGATTTTGTATGCCTCTACATGTTTTCTCCTGAGCTAAATAGTCCTATATGTTGCATCCATCCTTTTCTGCTTTGATCATTTTGGTTGCCCTTTCATACAAAATTTCCAGCTCTTTAATAGCTTTTTCTTAGGCACAGTGACCACACCTGTACAACAACTGTACACAGTATTTCAAGTGTGGTCACAACATACACAGAGGCTGTATCTTATTGGAGGCTTTAATTTCAATTATTTTTCTAATTATGTGCAACATGAAATTTCTTTTTGTTATACCTGCCACGCACTGAGAACACTTTCATTATGCTCTCAATCAATACCCCACCGTCTCAGTCTGTCACCACTTGCTTAGATTCATCAGCATATACGTGAAGCTGGGATTGTCACTGTTGTTATTATTTCCCCAATGCATATCACACTACACTTGCTTACACTGAACAATATTTGCCATTTTAAGGCAGTTTTGAGAAATCCCTTTGGAGCACTTTTTAATCCCCTGATGTTTTAACAACCCTAAAGATGTGGGCATCATCCATTAAGTGAACCATCCTAGTGATTACTCCAATTTCCAGTTCATTTATGAACAAGCTGAAAAACAGATTTACATGGAACCCTGCTGTTTATAGCCCTCTCTTGCAGGGATGTAATGGTCAATTGAGGAATGGAATGGGTGGCTAAAACCAGACTGGTATATATTGATTATAATTTATATAATCATCACAAGGTTCATTTCAATATCACACACCAGCTAAAGCTTTCTGGGCAGTTCACAAGAATTCATAAAATGCAAAATGTACAATGCAATAAATCAACATGCATCTTCCAATATATAAAATTTAAAACAGAATTTAGATCTAAGCAGCTAAATTCATTTTTCCCACACAGCTAGACCACGATTAAGCCACCCCGCATTCTATTAAATCCCTTGAAAAAAAGGTCAATCTTAACCTGATTCCAAAAGGATTGCAAATTCGGGCCAGATGGGTCTCAGAGAAGAGACCCTTGGGAGAACATCACAGAGGTCTGTTAAGACAGATGCCATTCCCTTAGGTTAGCAAATGAAGGGCCAATTGGACGGCACTCCTTAGGCTGGTACATTTAGCCTGGGAACATCAAATTGCTGAACCCTAGCATAGGATATGTGTGTCCGTCCTGTGGCAGAAAATGCCACAACTAGAAATATAAGCTGCATTCCAGCATGTTTAAATCTTACCACATCCCATGGATCTTAAGCACAGTTAACTGGGGACTGGATTGTGGCCATCAAATTGAAGCTAGGTGCACAAGCCATTTCTTAATCCTTTCACCTCAGTCCCTTCTCTAATATTTTACCTCCAGATGTGGCTAACGTACAACAAGAAATGTTTTCTGGACAGGGGGACAGGAAGCAGCTTTCTCCTTAACATTTTAGCATAAAAGAATATTCTCCAAGTGATTGTTTTTCCTCATTTTTGCCATTTTGCCTTTTATTATCTTTCAGCTTTACAGAGTGTACATGTGTGCATGTGTGTGAGTGCTGTTTAAAAAAAAATCCCGGATAACTCTCAGACTAGGAAAGAAAGGGACAGTCTGTTGGGTTTGAGTTGGGCAGGGTGCTGAGTAAATATTTGTTTCACAAATTGGAGAATGAAGTGTTGGTTCCATCTTTTGAAAAACTGCAAAAATCATCAGTTTGTATTTGAAGATGGAAAGAAATGTATTTAGACAGTAAGAGGCAAGCGTAGTAATTGGGTTTCCTTTTGGGGAAAAAAGGATCCCTTTCAAAGTTTTAACAACTAAAAACAAGCTGGCCATGATTAAGAGCAGGGGGTGGGAATGTCACTTTCAAACCTCATATTAAATTATCTCAAACAGGAAGAACACATTCTATCGTGTCCATCACAATTTTTATTGAATGGAAACATTCTGGAAAGCATAGTTACAAAAATATTATATAGGTAATTTCTTTTTCAAGATTTCTATTTAAAATGTAGAAACCTGTTTTGATATCTCATCTTTCTTATGGACCCTAGGGCAAGTGGTAATGAAAGGGCAAGATGCTCTGGAACCGACTGAGAAGGTCCTCAAGAATGGCCCGATTCTTAACCTGAAGATGAGGCCTGGATTTCTCCTGGCGAAAGAGCTCACAACACAGAACACCCTCCCCACCAGCCCACTTGGCTGATAAACATGGAATTTATCCCTCCCACTGAGAATGAAAGATTGTTCTGGTGCTTTCCATGGTGGTGTTCTGGGGGCAACCTGTCATTCTTCGAAGGAAGGTAATGGCACCTGGTACCCTGTGCTCCTGATCAGGTGTGCAGACAAAATGCAACCCATTAGCTGCCATCCATCATTCTCATTTTAGTCCAGTTCTTTTTCCCAGAGACACAGTATCCTAAGGGAAGAGCTGTGGCTAGGAAGGGGCCATTGCTCAGTGGTGGAGCACTTACTTTACGTGCAGAAGGACTCCAGTTCAACCACTGGCATCTCCAAGTAAGGCTGGGAAAGAACTGTGTCTTAAACCTCTGTAGGGCTGCTGCTAGCCAGTACTGAGTGAGAGGGGACTCAAATGAAGGCACCTCCCAAGGTGCCCTCCCTGTTGCTTAATTGCTAGTAATTTAACCATAATCCAGAGAGCTCCTTTAAGCATCCTTAATGTTTCTGTGCACCAATGCTCTGTGCATATGGCCTCTGAATTTCTAAGTTCCCAAAATGGATTGTTCTGCAGCTCAGGAACTGGTTTGGAGGTTTGGGTAAATTTCTGCTGAGGAAAATATGCAGACTGAAGTGAGTTTCTTTAAAATGTGGCCCTTGCACATAATCTCTTGAAAACAAGGCGATTTTGGCTCTCTTATGTCTGAGATCATTTAAAGAAACAGAACTACCATACTCACTCACTCACTCCCCCCCCCTTTTTGACAAGAACACCCAGGACCATTTGTGGGGGGGATAATGACCTTCAAGCACCTATCTAACTAGGCTCTGTTAGTTATCTCATGTATTGGAACGATGCCCAGCCTACCTATTTCCAATCCAGGAAACCTGCAAGAGACACTCCTCAACACAAGGATGTTTTATCTCAGGAGTCAGCCCATGACACCGAGCCTTTCATTTTCTCTCCCTCTTCTGCTCAAATTAATTTGCCTTTAACATCTGCCCTCTGTCTGGAGTGATAGAGTACCACACACCCTTCCGTTGTAAAGTAGATGTCATTTCTTTTACCTTCTAGTAAGTATGAGAAAACTGGGAAATAGCCGAGAGAGACTGAGACAGAGAGCACTAGCTTCAAGTTGCTTCTTTTGCCTGATCATCTATGCAGACTTCAAACATTTTCAGCTACTGGGAAAGCCCATATATTGTTAAAAATAGAGCTTCACAGCAAATAGTTTAATCTTTTTTCTCCTTTCTGTCACCCACATTTGAAAAGACCGCCTCCACTTACGCTTCTGGAGAGAAATCCTTCTCTTTGCAAATTTCCATCAGTTTTGGTGTCAGTCTGTATGCTTTTAGGGAAAGATAGCCTTGGGCAGTTTTTATAGGATCTGAGGAAGAACAAAAAGAATTCATAAAATATGCCAAATAAAAGTCAATAAAATGTTACTGGAGCCCTTCTAATAGGTCAATTTTTATTTTGCATAGAAGTCCACTCAGGTTTCCGAAAGATTATTATTTACTACATCTGCAATGTGGAGTAGCAATGCAATTCAAATTATAGACAAATAATATTAAAATATATTTTAAACTATATTGTTGCAATCAATATTTTGATACTATATTATTCACACAACAAGTAAAACAGATCCTACACACATATATCAGTAATTATTTGTTTTATTTGCTTGGTGTGGTATTTACATGATGCTCAAAAGCAAAAGTTTTCCCGGTGGCTTAAAAAGGTAGGAACCCCACAATATCAGAAGTCCTGCACTGGATCAGGTCAAAGGCCTATCTAGTCCAGCATTCTATTCCTATTGTAGCCAACCAGGTCCTGGACAGACAACCAGGTCCTAGCAAGCACAAGATGGCTGGTGAGACCACTGCCTGGAGGGTCAGCACATGCTTTGCAGAGCAACTTCAATTTAAATCACCAGTGTTTCCCATTGGAAGAATCAGGAAGCAGGCAATGGGAAAGAAAACCTCCTGAGGCCACGGAAGGATGTCCTGAATCGACAGCAAATAACACTGCATTAGAAGAACAAAAGCTCTGACCTGGTTGCTCTAGTAAGACTGTCTTCTATATTCCTTGGTGAGATCAACAAATAATTTCCAGTGGCTGTAGAGCAAGGGCTTCAGCTCCTGGCACAGTTCCTAGATTTTCCATATGACTGGAAGCAGCACTTTTAAGATGCTACAGTTTTTTGTGGCTTTTAACCTCATGTTTCAAGCACCGTATCAACTCATCCTTATCATAGTTACTATGCCAGCACTCTCCTTCCAACAACAGAGATCCCCTTTTTGGAATGTCTCCCACATGAGTCAGGACAGGATGATTATATGATCTAGCTAGCCCTTAGATGGTAACACAGTGTCTGAGCTGAACATACTTTTGATTAGGAGTCACATAATACAATGCTGTTTCTTACCCTCAGCTGCCCCACTCCAATTATCCCTGCTTGTAGAAGACTAGCATGTCAGAAATCAGGGCTATAACCCTTTACCCTGACATCCAGTTTTCTATGTGGAAGTGGCAGGGGAAACTGCTCTGGAAGAATATTTAATCATGAAGGCTCCCACCCGGTCAACCTAGTGGTACTTCTGCAGGAACTAGACTTATTGCAGGACAGACCTCATAGGGTTCCTAGCCTCAGATCTCCACTTGGTCTGCCAAGTTCCTGATATTCTGTTAGGAAAATATTTATCCAGGTATACGTTTCCAATTGCATTTGGGTCTCTCTTTTTTTTAATGTGAACATAGTTTTAAGGTTGGCATGCCATCGTTAAGAGTGGAAAAATCTATGAATAAAAAACTATTTAATCTCAAAGACACAGGAGCTTAACGTCTGTAGTAAGATAACAGCCAAAATAGGCTCGCCAAATAGTAAACTTTAAAAAAGTTAACATTTGTGTTGTCTGAAACTGAACATAGTAAAACCTTTAGCAATCAGTGATAAAATGAAAACCAAAATAGACTGAAACAAGTGGAAAATTCATCAAGATCTGATGATGCAATGTTTCCAGCCAGTATAAGTATACTTTAACAACTTGTTCTTTACTGTAATCCAATTGTTAACATACTGAAACAATTTTGGGGCAGCTCATAAGATTGATCGTATTCATTAGTATTTTTTCTGACAGATACTCAGGACGTTACATTTACTTCTCAGCTGGAAACTATACGCGAGCCTGCCAGATATGGCAAAACCGTGAGTGTTCGGGGAGGGGAAAGCTATAAAGCTGTTAAATTGCCTATGGTTCTGATACAGGACAGAACATCTGGTCTGGAGAGCTTGAGGAAACGCCATTAAAAAAAATCTGCAGAAAAGAAAAAAATCTTTGTGCTACGAAACAGTCCAGGTTTTGTGTGCTTCTGTCAGATGCAGAAAAAGGGAGCGGGGGGGAGAAGAAAAATACTTGGCAAGCAGCATTACGATTGGTCAGTCACGTACAGAGCCAGACGCTCTAGCAAGCAGGGTTTGTTAAGACATCTGGTGTAGTTCCACCAACCCCTTCCACAAGGGAGGGGAGACGGAGGAATAAAAATGAAGCAGCTACTCCGGCATTCCAAAACGTACACATCAGGGCTCTGATAGCAAGAAAAATAAACAGAAAGAAGGAAACCCTGTCTAGACTTCGCTGCTGCTGAGGCTGCTGCAGACACAGGGTTGGTATTTACTTGGAAAAGGCCTGCTAGGGCTGCTGTTAGAGGCAAGTGAGATCGAAAGACAAAAATAGCCAGAATAATATCGAGGCATGCGTGCGTGTGCGTGTGTAGGTGGGTGTGAGTGTGTAGGAAGAAGGGGGGTAGAATACAGGAAGCAGTCCACTAACCGTAAATGAGGACAACGGATTCCTCAATAGCATGCTGGTAACTGAACTGGGAGTCCAGGAGGGCACGGGTGACAAAAGAGCCGTAATAAGTGGACTGGTACCAGCCGACGTGGAGATGATCGATGTTTACATGCCGAAGGCTTCGCATCATTTCCATCTGATACTGAACTACAGGGGATGAGGAGAAGGGGAAGGGAGAGAGAGAAATAAAACACTTTATAGAATACGCTTCCATTAAAATCCCAGCCACTGAACCCAGTTCATTGTGAAGGCAATTTGCTGTGGCTACCGGAATCTGCAGGGGCCCATGATGCAAGCCCAGTGAAGCCAATGAGTTGAGGAGTAAGGGCCAGCGTTGCTCTCTTCGTTCTGAGATAAATTGTCTTATTTTTGATAGCAGATTCAGCAGGCCCAACTTCAGAGAGGTAACAACATAGGAAGAGCCTTTTTAAAAAAACTTCTGGCTTAAAATTTGGTCTAGGCTGAGCAAAGTGGACAAAAAGTCTAACCCCAATAGCAGGCAACAGGTCCACCTGGCTCCAGCAGAGGAAGGGCAGGGGCTCAGGACCACTCCCACAGTGTGGCTGCAAGAGCAGCTCCATCAGGCTCCTTCTCTTCCACAGTGGTGAGCCTGTTGCAGCCAGACATTGGGGTGGGGGTGTTGGTGCTGGTAAGAGGCACAGAGGGGTCTGCAAAGTGACTCCATCAGTGAAGCAGAGAGACCAGCCGCATTTGGTTTCTCCTCTACCTGAACTATTTCCATTCAAGCTGGTCGTTATAAGAACTCGGCAAGAACTGTAGCCTCAGGAGGCACCGTTAGAAGTTCCACTGAACACAGAGAGACTTACATGGAGTAAACATGATTAGGATTGTGCTGTGAGTTTTTTTCCCTTCCTCTGCACCTCCCTTTTGTAGCATTTATTTGATATTGCAAGCTTGAGGGCAGGGATTGCCTTGAAGTACCCATGGGTCTAAGTTTCTCAGGCTGAAGAACAGGGTAAAATGGGTATGCTACAAAAAGACTGCATCTTACTTAGGAAGAGAACAAATCAAACTACCTTACAGAACCTTTCCTGCAGAAAGCAGTGCATCCCCAAACAAGTTGAAAATAAAAATTACTGCCTTGTCCCACTCTTGTTTTTTTAATCCCACACTCTTCCCCCCCCCCCCCCCGGTTTTGGTGTAGCTGCTCAGTCCCTCTAAAATCACAGTTTAGCTTGTACCTTTGCTCACCCAACCTTCTAGGCCTCCTGACACCAGGATTAATGCTGCTAGAACAGGCCTGCATCTTTGCTGGGCCAAAAGGCAGGCTGACACTCTAGTCTGTTCCAGCAGGCCCTTTGCATGCACCACCCTTAATCCCTATCTGCTCTAGTTTGCCGGCTTTCTTCTTCACGTGCCTGGCACCTGCACTGCCATTCCAGCCCCTTTCTGATGGTTCCCCAGGTTGGATCTGAACTGACCTTCCTCCGATCAGCCCCAGTATTCCATCCAACTCTAGACTGAATCCTGTCAAGCACTCCACCTCCCTTTAAGCAGGTTCCTACTATTCACAGTTAACAGTTTTCATCCACACAACTTTAAAGCCAATTTGGCTCAACTCAGTGGATTGTCCGCAAAATTTAAAGTGGGAAGGTTGCTTTGTTATAAAGAATAACTTGGTCAGGGTAACAGCATAACTACCCTGAATAGGGATAACCAAATCTCTTTTGCTTTCCTTAACATTCAACACCTTTCAGGTTTTCTCCCTTCCATTTCTACATCTTTTTTAATCTATCAATTTGTTTGTATTTCTCAGCACTTGAACCCTTGTACACATTTGTATACACACTGCAATATTCAGAGCACAGAAACCAAAGGATAACTGTTTTCAGGATGTGTAAGAGTTGAGGAAGTGTGCATTTGGTTGGTTTGCATTAGAATGTGAAACAAATTAAATTCCCCACCATTCTGGATCATGAGTGAGACCACTAAAAAGAGTATCTTGATGGCCATGTAGGAAAAAATGTAGAAGCAGTGGGAAAGTAGTGACACAGTCAGCCATATGTTTACATTGCAGGATAAAGGAAGAGGTTTTGTTACTTTGTTTTAGTTAAATATTGTGCATAGTACAAGGAGCTTATGGGCAGCAAATACAACAAAGGTCAAGTATGCAAATAAAAAGAAAAAAGAAACTATGTTCCCATTCTTGTCTGAGATGCATTATCTGTAAATATGTATGGATAGCACTTGGATAATTAGTCCTGTGAACACAAAGAAATTCAGCAGAAAAAGCTTCATTAAGTGCAGACTTAAGATATGGGTCAGGACAACTTAGATGCTTAAATACAAGGAGATGATTAACACTGAGCTACTCCTTAACTAGGCTTTGACAAAATGTAAATTTTAAAAAATCAAGGCACAACAAAATCGAGTTCATACCTGTCTAATCACTACAACAAACCTTGGAGATAAGAAAAGAAGGAAGTATGAATAATGCAATTTATATATGCACCTAATATTTTGTGGATAAACATGCTTGGAGTTATAGGGCTTTTTCTGCCTAATCATGCACAGGATCAGGCACCTAATCACTTCAGAAGCGTAGATCACAGTGCAGCAGTAAAACCAATTATGGCCTTAACCCTCTGTTCAGACACTTCCGTGCTTTTTGGCATGCCTATTTTTGCTGTTCTTATTTTACATTGTGCAATATGTCTAACTTTTACATTTTATATCTCCACTTCAAGCCACTTCTCTGAAAACATGGACAGATAGACAGACAGAGCATGCACACGCAAAAGAAAATGGACATTGGCAGGATTTGCACAGCAAAATAAGCCACATAGGTGGCTCACCATGCATGCCCCCCTCACCCCACGGTCCACCATCTGCTCTCCCAATGTCCTTTGTGGAAAAACTTGTCTTGTTTCCCCCTCCCCTCCCCTCCCCACTCCAACCTGTACCCCTTTTGGTGGACCAGGCACCCTTGCTCTTCCTTTAAAAGCCTCAAAAATGCAGAATCCGGGGCATATTTTTTTCAGCCCAGAAAATGTTGGTAATATTTGAGTCTCCATTTACATCCTATCCATGAACTTTGTATATACTTCCCAGTAAAACAAACAAACAGTCATCCCCATCCCCAAGTACCCCATTCACTCAGTCTTCGCCAGCTGCCTTCTAAGGAATGTTTAAGAACCATCTGGAACTGAACTAATTACCACAGTTAAATGTTCTGAAATGGGAGAAGGAGTTAATATCTCCCCTTTCTGGAGTAGTAAGTCCCAGGGAAGGGATGAAAATATGGAGGACACTGAAAACTGTCAGCTTAATGGCTGATATACAGAGGATTGCTAAGAAGGAGATCCTGTCACTACCCCCTTCTGATGCAGCTATTTTTCCCCTTTACCAGTGATTTTCAACTGACAACTCAGCAGCCATGTACAAGAGAAGCCGTAAGCAGTCACTCCTTGCAAATTTCCTTTTAACTTACCAACAGCTTTTCCTTTGCAGCTGAAACTTACAAATACATTAGCTGGGCAGAACTGCATATAATTTGGACTACTGTAAGCACACACTGGCACATCTCCAAAAGTCTAACAGAAAATATGAAGATATTTGTGTATATGGGAGTGATTATGATTTTAAAGAGGGTCACTCCCAAGTGTAGACTGAGCATGGGTGCAAGGGCTCCCACTGGCTGAAGCATGAGTGAGGTCATGGAGAATGGCAAGGAGTTCTGTGCGGCACCCTGGCTTCCCCCCACGATCCACAATTGAATCAGTCTCCCAAATTAGGCTGATATATCAATGCTTTGTGACTTGAACGATCCTTGGAACAAACCATGGGATGTCGGGGTGGCTTGCTGTCCCAAAATTAGTTACCATGTGGGAAGCAGTCTGGGTTCAGACAATGTGACAACTTACTGTGGCGAGTTAGATATGCTGTGTTGCTGTGTTATGTGAACGCAGTCATTAAGAATCAGAAGCTTAACATTAAGCTTCATTTTAAAAATGGAATTAGCTTTAGTAGCACAACTGCAGGTTTAACAAAACCATAGCAAATAATCATACTGTTTTAATGCCACCTACTACAATGAACACGCGGACAATTTCCAGTCTGATTAAGTGATACTCCTCAGTTACACTCAAGCAAAAACTATTATTAGTTGGCACATTTGAGGCTCAGGGCTAGAGCCAGATTTGTGGGGATGTTGGGCAAGGACAATTACTGGCTTCTTCCAATAGTCTCTTCCCTTTACACATATTCAGCAGATAGCCCTGAACATTATCTCCCGCACATCTGATACAAGTTGCACATACACATTCTCACTCACTCAAGATGCAACATGCAACAGTGATCGTCAGGGACAGCGGTCAGGAGCTGGGTTTCCCCTCACCTGTTTCAAGCAACAGAGAGTTTCTCTGCAAAAACAGCCCTTTATTTCTAATTCACCACTAACAAACTACAGCAAAGACAAGTCTCTGTGCATGAACAAAGTGATTTTGTTGGCCTCAAACAAGAAATGACTTCCAAAAACCTTTCTTTTCAGTAACCCTGGGCTCCACACCTCTGAGTGAGCTCCTCTGGAGAAGTGCTAGGCTCCTAGTGCTGTGTAAGCCCTCTAGCTGGGTAGTCCTTCTGACTTGACATTGTACCACAGGAACAGGGAGAAGAATGAGCATGGGATCATTTACACTTCCCTCTTGTCCCCTCCGTGGAAAGTTGGCACAATCCTGATCCTGGAAAGCCCGCCAAGAGTAACTGCCTCATCAACTCCCAACAGCAGGTGGTCGCCCCTGCTAAGTGTTCCTCTATGGCTGCACTCTGGCTAGACAACTCTGCAGAGGCAGAACGTGCCATGATGGCAGAGGGAAATCTACTACCCTCTCCATTATAAGGAGCACAGAAATGGCAATGGGCAAAGCTAGCTCAGTTTTAAGGTCTCCTCATCCTTTATGCTAGCATGTAGGCTACAGTAAACTTGAATGCGTGCCAGATCCACCTTAACTTTGGCCTCTAAGAAGTGCAGGATGAACCTGCTGCCTAGAGAGCCAGATTGTGCAGTGGACAGTCCAGTATAAGACTCCCTGCATTCCTTTCCTGGAGATGTGAACAAAAGGAAAAGGAAAAAACAAAAAGTTAAGGTAGGAATTTGCCAGTGTGCAAAACCCTGCAGAAGCTCAACT